GTCACAGCCCCAACACCTTCACAGCCCCAACACCTTCACAGCCCCAATGGGTTTGCTTTGGGTCGGGCTGGTTTTCCCAAGGGCTTTGCCCCCAGACTGCATCAGGCTGGGGCGTTCATGTCAAAGGGCAGTGCCATCCTCAGCTTCAGACGGGGACAAACTGGGCTCAGCCCATACTGGGAACAAACTGGGCTCACTGTCACAAGCTCAACCCTTACTGGGAACAAACTGGGCTAACTATCACGAGCTCAGCCTTTACTGGGAACAAACTGGGCTCATCGTCATGAGCTCAGTCCTTACTGGGAACAAACTGGGCTCACTGTCACAAGCTCAGCCCTCACCAGCAGGAGGCAGCTGTGTTATTAAGCCACGAGTTTTAACTTGTGTTTTAACATTAAAACGAGATCTTTAAAACAAGATCATTTTCTACTGCATTAATTTCAGAGGACAGTGCCATCCTCATCTTCAGACTGGGAACAAACTGGTCTCACCATCACAACCACAGCCCTTAGGAGGAGCCAGCTGTGTCTGTCACATGAGCACAGATCTTTTATGGCTACTGAAAAGTCACAAGTTGTAAAACTTGTTAAGTCACAAGTTACTGTAAGCCACAAGTTGTAAAACAAGATCATTTTCTATTGCATTAATTTCAAAGGGCAATGCCATCCTCATCTTCAGACTGGGTCAGCCCTTACTGGGAACAAACCGGTCTCACCATCACAAGCTCAGCCCTCACCAGCAGGAGGCAGCTGTGCTTGTCACATCTTTTATTGCTACTGAAAAGTTTACTAAGCCACAAGTTGTAAAATGAGATCATTTCAATATTATCTATTAACAGAAATATATTTCAATATTCTATTAATATTACCTATTATATACTAATATGTATTTCAATATTAATTATACGTATCTCTTTGCTGTTTGCTTCAAATTTTAAAAATATCAGTTTAAATTCCAGGAGTGCACATGTGACAAAATGAGACTTTCTAACACTTCTGCGTGGTTATCCTCCAAACTTCCTATCAACTGAAAGGTCAAGATCATGAGGATATACCCTTGAAAAGGTTAAAAGTTTGATTCAAATCCATGTGAATCAAAAGAAAAACTCCCAGGAATTCAGTGGGCACTGGAGTCTCAGAAAGGGACTTAAACCCCTGCCTCCCAAACCAAAAGCAACCAAACAGAGCAACCAAACTTAAAAGAACTGAACTTGTAGGGAATGGGAATGTGTTGGATGCCAAAATAGGTGAAAATATTCTAGACCTTGAGGGCTCCACAGGAACCCAGCAATGAGCCCAAATGTGTACTCACCCCTGGGGATGGTGAAGTAACTCCTGGGAGTTGGGTCCCAGCATTTGGCTACTGTTAGGCTGATGGGTCTAGGGAGAGAGAAAACAGGTAAGGATGACTCTTAACTTTCCTGTAGAGTTGGAACAGCTACAAGAACTATTTGAAGAAAACTTATTCCTGTCCAACAGCTGTCAAGCACATTCTGAGAATGTTTTTGAGATGCTCGTTGAAATATTTCCTGTATGAACCAGTATCAGGATGCTTCTGGTTTTGCACAGGTGATGAGCACTGTGGGTGAAATCTGTTGAATGATCAGCTCTTGACATACTAAAATGCTCATCAGGTAAAGAAATAGTGCTGCTGAAACCAGGCAGCTCCTCATTGGTGTTGGTTTTGGCTGGTGCATTGAGACCAGTCTCACCTATTCATCAGCACACTGAGAAGTTCAGGGCTAGGAACAGTCATGTTGGTTCCTAATGGAGATCAAAATGCTGCTTTCTCTGAGGTTTTCCCCATTCCAGTAACTGCACATGGAGGATAAACAGCAGGAGGTTTTGCAATGTGCTCACCCTGGTTTGGAGACTATTTCCCGTAGAACCCGAACTGCATCGTCGTTGCTCATGTTCTCAAAATTGACATCATTCACCTGGAACAGTGCAGAAAGCAGAGGTCAGGCTCTGGGACAGCAAAGTTAAAGACATTTTAATTATTTGTGTCCCAATTTATTTGCCTTGTAACTGTTGCCATTCCTTTGAGCAGCTGCAGAAATGTCGTTTCTCAGAGCGCATCTCACAAAGAACTCCCGATAACAGCCTTTGTGATGCACTTCTCTGAGTGTGAATGAATTCTGTTAAGTGATTACTATGACCCTATGGGCCTGGTGGGATGCCTGAACTGAGCCAGCCCCCTGGAAGCCAGCAGCAGGTATTTTGGGATGCTCTGGGACCAACCTGCAGGAGCATGTCTCCCGGCTCGATCCGGCCGTCCGCTGCCACCGCCCCTCCTTTCATTATGGAGCCGATGTAGATGCCACCATCACCCCGGTCATTGCTCTGCCCCACAATGCTGATTCCCAGGAAATTATACTTTTCTGTTGGGATAGAAAGCAAAGGGCAGGGAGGGAAAAAAGCAAACAGAGTGATTGGAATGACAGCGAAGAGTTAAGACCAGGCTACTTCAGCTTCCAAAAATCAGCTCTCTCAACACATCAGCTGGGCCAGGTTTGGCTTACAATGATCTCAGGTTGCCCCTTCAGGGAAATACTGCTAAAGACATGATCTGTTCATACAGGATAATGAAAAGTTACATTAAAAAAAAAACCAACAGCAAGAGAACCAACACTGAAAGGACACGTCTACACCTCGAAATTGGGCACCCCATCAGCATTGAGCAACGTTTGTTCCACACTTCAGAGTGGCAGGAAGGGTTTGGTGCCACTGAAAGCTGCTGAGCTATTTGGCAGCCCTGCACATTTCTGTCTGGTTAAACAATGAAACGCAGGAGCAGCAGAAACACAAACCTCCAGTTCCCTTCTACCCTTGCTTCTGACAATGTCGGACCCCTCACCATCCCTACACATCACCACTAACTCCATATCCCAGAGTTCCAGCCCTTTCCCTGGAAAGAACACTGCTTTGCTCGTGCAAATGGCTCAGAACTATCCAGCTCTGGACTAGGAACCCAGGCACAGTCAACACAGGAGCAACTCTCAGCTGCCAGTCCCTTTAGTCCACCTGGCATCCTTTCAAACCAAGGAACTTTCTCCTGGCTCCAAAGGCTACCCCCACCACCACAAAATACATCTCAAATTCATCATAATAAACGGGGCTTATCCTCTTACCCATGTTGAGTGTGACAGTGATGATATTTAGGGACATGGTGGAATCGGTGATGCTGCTGAACGAAGACGACTGCAAAATACAACAGAGAATTCTCGAGGTTTTAAATGGCACAGAGTAAGACAATAAAAAGAACTACTGAGGATTAACTCATCAGGATTTGATTAATAGGTTTCCACTTGGAAGGCATCCAGAAGCTACTGTAAGGGAATCTGTAAGGGAAAGAAATCTGAACACAGTCTGCACCTTCCCCAAAGATTTGTTCCCAAAACACACAGAGCACGTTCCTATTTTGAGGTTTCTCAGCTGAACTTCACCTTGAATCCTTTCTGCTTCCTGCCTGTGACTGACAGGCAAACATTTAAACCCTAAAGTGCCCAGTGCAGTGTGAATTATTGCATCCACAGCTCCTCCCTGAAGAGAGGGGTGAACAACATGATCCGCCAGGAAGTGAGAGGAGAGACACTCCCCTGCCTCCAAAATTAAATACAAATGTGCTTATCAAAGACCTTCTCAAACACTACCTCAGTTGTTGGGATAAAATGTATGTGAGCTCATTCTTTAATGTGTGAAGACTGGTATTTATGGGAGAACAGAACAGTTCCCCCAAGAGTCTGTCATTTAGGCCATTCTCATCCTGCTGCCACAGCACTGGCACAGGAAAGGGTAAGAGAGAAGAGTTGAGATTTCCTGTAAATTTAGATTTCTCCTTCAGGAACAATGCAGGTCTCAGTGATTTATACACCAGGCATCTGACACCCTTTCCCACATCAGCCAGTGGCATAATGGACCTTCTCCTGCAGAGACTGGTCTCAGAAAAGACAAGAAATGGGATCACTGAACAGCAAAAGGAAGAAAAGGAGCGGAGAAAAACTTGACTCTGGTGCTGCAGAACTTCAAACGTAGAGATTTATCCAGACTGGAGCCAAAGGGAGCCTTTCCAAAGAATTCAACAGGCACAGACCTGTTCTGGATCCCTTCCTGAGCCAAGAGCTAAGCTCAGGAATCACGGTTCACCTCCTGGGAGAAGGCTGGTGCCAACCTTACCCTGTCGATCTGCCGCATCCTTTGTTTCCTCCTCCTGCGTTTGTGCTTCCGGATGAGCCGGGATGAGGTGCTTTGCTCCGTGGAGCTACTCAACCTGAGGGGGAAAGGAGAGCAGAGATGTCACCTCTGCAGAGCTGAGCCATTTGCATTTCCCTGCCAAGACAAAAAAAAAAAAAGGCTGATTCCAAATGCGGGAGAGAACAAATCCTGCCGACACCATCAGCCCGTTTGCAAGAGCACGGAGGAGATTCCAGCTAAACTCCAGCAGGGATTGGAGGATAATTTACTGGCTTCCCTTCTTTTGGGAGCAAAACCCTTAATGCCAATTTTTGTGAGTCTTATCCTGGTGCTGTATTTTCTTCCACTGTTAAGAGGAACTTAAAGTTAAGGCTTGAACTCAATGAAATAAAACACCAAATAGTGACAGAGGAACAGGGAATATGATCCACCTTCACATATTCTGTTAGTTTTATCTTGTTGTGGGTTTGGGTTTTTTTCAAGCTCTTCAAACTTGTAGAATCTACATGTGCCACATTCTACACAGAAATCTTTAAGATCCCTCTAAGAGTTCAGAGCTTTAATCATCCCCAATTTACAGAGAGCGGAATGAGACACAGAGAGACATAAATGGATTTGCCCAAATTAATTTCAGGAGCCTGGAACAAAGCCTAGATTTCTCAGATACCACTATAGCACCACAGAGACATCCCTCCTCTATTTATTATGTTAAGAATGGGGGGGGAAAAAAAAAGGAATGCTCCATCATTAACCAAGATTAAAAAATCCAACCCTGCACAAGGCAAGTAACTGAACTGGCACTGCCACAAAACAAACAGTGCCAGGCTTCTTCTTCCCCAGTCTCTCCAAGTTCCTGCCACATTCAGGAATGTGAGAATACCTCAAGGAAAACTTGATACCAGGAGCTTGGTGTCATGAGATTCCAGCCCACCATGGGAAACCCATCGTGCACAGAGTGGGGTGTCCTCACCAAGGACACCGAGCTGGGTGTTAGAGATGCTGGAGCTGCTCAGAGGGTGTGAATCTCCTGACATTCCCTTTGAGTTCACAAAACTATTTCAGGCATGTTAACCTCACACACTCCCTTCTCTCCCCTCCCAGCAGAGGTGAATTAAAAGAGCCAAGAGGTGGGATTTTCAAAAAAAGAGATCAGAAATTTGATAATCCTCCGTTGGTGGAAACAGCTCAAAGCACCTGGGTTTGGGAGGCTTTGCCTTTCCAACAGGAAAAATAAGGAGGTCTCAGATCCAGGGCTCCCAAAACTGGACTTGTTCAACACTCACCACTCTCTCAAAAGCAGCAGCAAAGAGTGACACAAAAACCTCCTCTTGCATTTTACTACCACTATTCTCCCCCTTCCTATTTCCTCTCCAGTTTCATTCTCCTCCTCTTCTCTCCCGGAGTATTTCACCAGTAGGATTCAGCCAAAACCTTCCAGCAAATAAGAATTTGAGCAAAGGAAAGGTATGTTGCTCACAGTGAACCTGCTCTTTAAGAAGGGGATTTTCTTTTAGTTAAACCAGCAAAATCAGAGGGTTTTGGCAATTCTCTGAACTTCTGTTACCAGATGATAATATGTGCAAAGTGAAGTTCTTCTTTCTATGGTATTTTTTTTGCATTCTACCCAATATTAAAGTGGAAAAATGGGAATCAGCTCCTTCAAAAAGCTTTCAAAAGGTTTAGTTCAAGACAGACAGTATTTCAGAGAAGTAACTCCTGGAGCTAAAACAGCCTCTTCCATTAGTTGCACAGAATTGATGAGGCACTGCAGGAATATATTTATGTATATATATTATGTAGCTATGGCACATTTCACCATCTCTTCTTGTAATTTCTATAAAATCCACAGCCTTCATGCATGCTTGCTGAATCCTTCATATTTTAGGAGTATCTGGATGCTGAATAACAGCTCAAACCTATCCTAATGAGGAAAAATATTTTGCTCCCTGAAGTATCCTCAGACACACTGAGCAAAAGTTATTACCACAATTTGATGAGCAAGACGAGATGGTATATTTGAGCTTTTGAGACAAACCAAGTGCAAAGATGAAAAACAAATCTGCAATCATCACTACCAAATAATTTCCTGCGCTGGCTACTGCCCAAGAAACCCTGACTGCACTTCTAAAACAAGGCTAATAAGTCCCACAGAAGACATTTTTTAAAATAATAACAATAATTTGACCAATCTATATCCCCCAAAGGAAGGGGGAAAAGGTAACAGTTGTTAAAGACAGCTTATCCATATAGTTTAAGGAGAACTAATGCTAATTTCTTAAATGAAAAATAAACATCATCACGTTTTTTGCAGTGAATTATCTTAGTTATACTGAACTGAGAATACTAACTGCACATAGCTGACAATAATCCTACAGATGTCATCTCTCTTAGACCTTTGGTTGCTTAACAGAAATAAGACTTTTACTGGGCTCCCTACGTCAACCTGTGTTCAAACTCATACCTGCAAACAACAAGAGCATTCAATCATGTCATTCTTTGAAAAGAAAGCAAACAAATTATTGTGCTCACACTGCCCTGTAACATCTGTGAACAAGTCAAGTCACCAAAATAAGACATTACTCTTTAACTGAATGCAACAGATTCTCCTTGGACTGGGAATTGCCCCACTCTGCTGCACTGCTTCAAGTTAAAAATAAAAATAACACCCAGCTAGAGAAGCATCCTCAACCTGCAACCTCTTCCAAGACAGTAACATCCCTTACATCTGATTTCTTCTCTCAGTGGCCTCCTCCCTGTACAATCTCCTCCACAGAGCAGGTTGTGACAGCAGAGTCCCTGAGCTGTTATTCCCCAAACTTACCCCCTTCCTGCCCAGGCTGCCTCCAGCAGGTCTGGAGCATTCTCGAGGTGTTATTTGCCTGCGTTCGCCTCGGAAGAAAAAACTTCTCCCTGCCAGCACAATCTCTCATCTGCCTGAGAAACACCATCCCTGGAACACAACAGCATACCTTGGAGCATTCCATGGAGTGGTTCTTCCTGACTAGCTGGCCTGGCAGCTGCTCCCTGTGCCAAAAGCTCCTGCCCCAGCCTCGAGAGGGAAAGGCTGCACAGCAGCTTCGAAGAATCTCTTTATTCTCGGGTCAGACGCAGGAAGTTTGACTTTTATTAACACAGAAAGGTTTAGCTGGGTCTGCTCTGAAGTGCTCCAGTGCTAATCCTGCCCCACTGCATTGCTTGCTGCCATGGGAATGATTAATTCATTTACAAGAAACCCCGAATCAGCTGCAGGGTTGTTGCTGTTGTTGTTTTTGTGGGCTTCATTTTTTAGGGAGGGAAGGAGGGTTAGAAGCCCTAAAGGCTTTAGGGAGGCTGAGAGTGCATTCAGGTTAACTGCTGATCTTGCCAAGCCTTTATGCACATGAACATCCAGGTGAAGCACAAAGCATCCACAAGGGTAATTTTTTTGTGTCTTCAGGTGTTGGGAACTTCATCAGAGAATCACGGAATGGTTTGGGCTGGAAAGGACCTTAAAGATCATCTCGTTCCAACCCCCCTTCCATGGGCAGGGACACCTCCTACTTCACTGCAACTGCAAAATAAGTTCTTGAAACTAATTCAGGAGCAAATCTTCAACTAAATCTTCATTTAGCTCCCCCTTCAGCACATGGCCTTTAAGCAGAATTTGGAGGAGCTGCTGCTCTTCAGCAGCTCTTTGAGCCATGATCAACTGCAGGACCAGACAGACCCACCGAGTTCAATGAGCTGATCATGTTTGTAAACACAGCAAGTGGTTCAGTATCTCCAGCAGCTGCTCTTGCTGTTTCCATTCTACCTAAAATTTCAGAATATCACATTGCACCTTATTTGTTTTAGGCTGCAGATCTCCATGAACCACCAAAGACCTACAGTTTTGCTCCCTGACAATTCACAGAAATCTATAATGGGTTTTCAGAGCTCACTGGGAAGAACAACAGCTCCAGAGACACTGTTTAGAGAATGTTGCCAGGAAAGGAAAGTGTATTTGTTTTGATTCATTTTACACCCTTAAAAATAAGCATTTTAAATCTGAGAAATGGCTTATAAACCTTTTAGGGAACAACAAAAACATCTTTAGAGATTTACAAGAATCTTTCCAAATGGAGAGGTATTTTTCGAGAAGTGAGGAATAATTCACAGAAAGAAAGAAATAATGAAGGAGCCATAAATATATGGCAACCCAGCCTCCCTTTGCAATAGCATTAACTTTGATGAATTCCTGTACTGCTCACAGGTCTCAGACTATGCAATTACACAGGAATTCCTTTATAATTCAGCTCTAGTGAAGTGCACACTTATTAGGAACCTATGCTGAAGGTATTTTAATATAATATTCACACTATTAGTTTATAAATAGGTAGGCAGTTGCACATTGCTTTGATCTTAAAATGTGACCATTCTTGCTGTTAAAAGCAAAGGGCAGAAGCAGAATTTCCCTCTGTATTGGAGCAGTGGCTACAGGCAGGTTGGAGAGTGACCCTGTAACTGAGCTTGGTTCTTAGAGCAGAGATTATAAACAACATGATGTTATTGGTGAGTTATCACAGAGTCAACAAGGTTGGAAAAGACCTTTAAGATCATTGAGTCAACCCAACACCACCTTGTCTAGTAGACCATGGCACTGAGTGCCACAGCCAGGGCTCAAATCATACACACTAGGGCAAAACAGGAATGAAAAGGTGGAAGGAGAAGATCTAAATCAAGCCCAGAACCAGAGTGGAGAGCCTGGAGAGAGATGCAAAGAGCATTTCCCAGCTCGGTGCCCGTGGCAGTGCCCCACCTGCTCGTGTTGTCGTCGTCCTCGGAGTCGATGAAGCTGCTGGACTCCAGCTCACTGCTCATCATGGTGGAGGAGCTGTCGTAGCCAGGGGGGTGCTCACGGTGCCTGTCCAGCTTTGGGTGCCCATTGATCCGAGGGGCTGCCAAAAAATCACACAGGGGGTGTTATCAGGCAGAGGGGAAGGTTTCCTGTGTAATTAAGGTGTGCATTTAAATACATAAAGTTTTTCCTAATTTCTCTACTCAAATAAAATTCCCTTTTCCAGCATAGTTTGGGGGCAGGGGAGGTCAGGAAACATAAACTGAGTGAGTACTTTCACAAACCATGGTTATAAGGGGTTTATTCACAAAATACCCCCACTTATCCAAGTTTTAAGTCCTAACAAGAATCATTCCCGCTCTGGTTCAATGCCTGTCCCAGTAATGACCAGGGGCTTTCTGCCCTGCTGACCCCCTGCCCCTGTTTCTTCCTTGGAGGATGACAAGAGTTCACTGGGACCTTCTGACAAAAGCCTTGGAGTGTCTCACAGAGATGAGAATAAAGCATAGCCTGGGAGGGTAAAATGTGTCCTCCTTGACTTTTATCAACAGCAGAGTAGGCCCTGCCTGAGGGACAGAAGCACATCAAAGACCAAATCAAAGCAGCCTCGAAAGCAGAAAGGGGAGAGCAGCATCTGCTCAAGGAAGGTGTAAGGAGGGTTCTGTGATACTGCAGAGAACAAGGGTGTCTCAGGGAGAAGGCACATCCAAGTTCCCAGTTAAGAGGAAAAACAACTGCCCTTCCAATCCCCTCCAGTGCAGAAAGTCTCTACCAGTTATTAACAGAAATATGTTCTCAGGTTCTCAATAAAGACTCGTAACTCCTCTGGGTGCAGGGCTCAGTCCCTGCTCTGGAAGTAGGGAAGAATGATGAGATTGTCCATTCCTGCTCTATGCTTGTACCCATTTCCATGCCCTACCCCTGCATCCTGCTTTGCCTCATGTTTGAAGTTCTTTGGAACCCTCAAACAGCCTCCAATCACTCCACCAAAGACAAGCTTCACGTTCCCACTGCAACTGTTTTCTAGTTCCAGCCCTTCTTCACATTCCTTGGCACACTCTGCAGTAAAGAAATCCATATATTGCAGCACTGAGTGGAAACCTCCAACAGCTCCTCTTCCCAAACATTTGGGGATCTACAAGCCTGCCCACATGAAGAGCTTCTCAAGGCACAGACCATCATGTGGCACTTTTCAGCTCCCTGCACAACAGTTACGTTCACCCCACAGCAAACTGGGTGTTGAAACACCAGTGTCGACACTTGATATCTGCAGACTTGTCAGAGACAGAGCAGCAGCTCTAAAACATCCCTCAACGCCAAAGGAAACTTGTCCCTTAATTACCTCCCTAATTAGAGCCTCCCCAGGCCCCTTTCCCACTCCCCCTGAGCAGACTGACACGGGAGCTTTGTTCTCCACAGCGAGGGGTCCCCAGAACATGTGCCAGGCAGACCTCCCACGTCTCTAATTAAGATCCTCACTCTACTTTCACTTAACAGGACTCTGTCAACTTTCCAAAGCAACTTTTGTCGCTTGAAGAGACAAAGCAGAGCCCTGACATCCTGATTTCTTTTCCAGATTGGTTTTCCTGAAGATTTCCTGCACTGTCACAAACCTCCAAAAGCACGTGGATGAACAAAAGAGTTTTATTATGTTCCTCAAGCCACCACACTGTGGGTATCACTTGGAAATCAGAGAATATACAAGCACAGGAGAAGACACAAGCATTCATTGCCTGTGCACTTAAAAGAGGAGCATAATTTAAGGGAAATGGGTGGAAGAGCTTACAAATGCCCCAGCCTGTGTTGTTATCTGAGTGGATCCCTGGTCTAGCAAATCACAGCCCCTCTGCTGCAAAATCCTTTCGCATTTTCAATATGGAAGAGGTGTGAAAACGTTGTCAGATCACCAGGTGTCTCCACATCTGCCAGGGCCCTCAATATTTATAATGGCCTCTCTCTGTGTGTCTGTAATTGCCCAGCAGCAATTCAGCAGAAACACCTTTTTGGGGATGAGTAATCCTGCAACAATGAAGGAAAACACACAGGCTGGTTTGGTGAACAACCCACCCATGATACCACACTTTTAATTACCACCTGGTTAACTTCCCATCACCCAGGCTCCAAATCAAACCTGAAAGCCTCTGTAAGAACCCCGCTGCTGTCCAAGCCCAGGCTGTCACACTGAAAGCTGGCAAAGCTTTTCAATAAAATCAGGAAATTATTTTTGCAAATTAAAACAGAAAATAGGACAGAAAAATCTTCATTTTGCTTCCTTTCTCTTCCCAGCCTTGGGGTTTTCCCAGGTCAGAACAAGATCCTCAGTTCTGCTGAGCCTCTCAGTTCTGCTCTGGGATCAGTGGACTCAGCCTCCTCAACCTGTACAGGTTTTGGCTCGATGTGTCCACACCTCTACAGTTCCCAAACAGCTCCTTAGCACCTTCTCACACTTCACCTCTTTGGAGTGAAGGCTGTAATACACTGCTCATGTTTTCCTAAAGAACAAGTGCTCCTTCCCCTCTGCAGAGTACCCAGGGAAACCCTCACTGCCGGGGTAGGTTAATTGTCGTTCTCTTCACACCAACAGGGAGCTCAAACATTCACAGTTCACCCAACAACGAGCCCCAAATGAGTTCCAAACACTCGGTGCTCAGGTTATTGTTCAGCTGGCTGAGCCGGCAGGGCTGTCCCTGTGTCTCTGCAACAAACCTCTGAGTAATGCAGGGCTCCAAGGAGATCCCTCATCCTGCCCCTCCAAAACCACCAGAGCTGTAATTTTGGTATTATTCAAACGAGTCCCTGCAGGACCAGATCAAACACTCTCACTGCATTCCCTTCTTTCTGCAGGGAAAGGAGGATTTACCACTGTTTCATAATGACAAGCCCCTGGAAGAGCTGGGATCCAGGTGTCACACCCTGCTGCCCTTTCCCCATCCTTGTCCCCCTTTCCCTGGGACTGCACCCCCATTTTACATCCACCTGTGCTCCACACAAACAAGATGTGAAGACTCAAGAAAAGAATAATCCCTGTGATGAAAAGGTCTTCAAATCCTTTCCAGAATTAGGGTATTTCACTTATTTTAGTATTTTCAAGTGGGACACAGTGCTCAACCGTGCACTTTAGGGATGCTTCCCACTGAAAACAACACACTGGGGTGTTATTGTATGTATTGTTTGTCATTACTGTCATATAAAATATTGTTGTGACCACAGAAACACTGTGGAAATTAAACAGTATATTTTGATGGTACAGCAGTTACCATTGTTTTGTGCATGTTAACAAAACTCACCTGCTTCAAGTAGAAGGCCTGGATTGTTTAGAAAACAGGGAATGTTTGCATTACTGACATGTTATTGCCTGAGCTTTGACAGGAGAGGGAGGAAATTTTATCCCATTTTTTTCTAAAGAACTAATTTCAGACCCCCCAAAGGCAGAAACTCCTGTGCTCCAACAATCCCATATGAGCATTCCACACCATCCAACACCAGCTCTCAAGCCATGAATATTCACAGCAAAACATGCACTGGCACTGATTTAATGTTTAAAACAATTCCCCTTTTAACATCCTTCCCGTAACAAGTTTTTAACACAACCCTATTAAAAAATTCTGCCCCTTTCTGTGATTTCCCAAAGGAATTTGCAGTCAGGGTCATGCACAGACACCCACTGAGGAATTTTCAGTCCTTCTGAATCAGTGACATGTTGGAAGGGTTAAATGAACAGGAAGACACCTGTTTTTAGCCCACAGTTTATAGATGTGATTTCTGGTTTTCTAACTTTAGTGGGTGGAGCTCTGAATAAAGATTGTGACAGCATCTCTTGGGCCCAAGTATTCCAAATTCTGGACCATTTTAAACTCAATGGGTGGCACCTATTAATTCTTAATTAAGCCTGGAAATTCTTGTCTGGCAACGAATGAAAAAAAACCAAGCTTACTTTGATGTACAGACTAGAGGCAGGAGATGGAGTTCTGCAGTTTATTTGTGTACTTTGGGTATATTCAGATATAAAAAAAGATCTCCAGAGCCAACGTTATATCGGCACAAAACACCACGGCTGATCTGAGCCTTGAGAAATGAACAGTTAGTCCTCTCCAAGCTGCTCATCTTCAGAAAGCTCTGAATGTTGTCAAAAAATAATCTCTCTGCCACTTTACTGCAGGTTGCCCAGACCTCTCAGAAAACGCCGAGCTTCAAAGAGTTTCAAAGCAATTATCAAATTATTCCATTAAAATAATCACAGTCCCTGAAAGCACGCAGGAACACAGACACAAGTCTCCTTGCATGGCAAAAAGCAATTGTTGCTCTGAAAGACTGGCAGGAAAATTGTTCTTTCTGAGTGAAAAAAAGGGGGGTTGGGGGTGGAAATGAGCCAGGACTCACCATCCTCGTGCCCTTCCCTGTTCCTCCGCCGGTGCCTGTCCCGCCGGTGGCTGATGACTGACTCTGTCCCTGTGTCATTGTCCAGGCCATCCCTGCTGCTGGCAGCGTTGGGGCTGTCACAGAACAGAGAGGAACAAACACCAGGGTCATCCCTTTTTTTCTCTCTTTCAGTAAAACAGTCGGTTCAGCAGCCAGAAAACTGTTCTTGCAGCCGAGTGCTGCACCCCCTTCCTCCCCCAGCCTGGCTCTGCCCACCCCAAAAAACCACCTGGCGGGGTGAAAACACAACTCCACATCCATGCCCTGAGACACACAGTGCTGTTTTCAAACAGCACAAATATTATTCAAACAGGGAAAGCGTTATTTTCAAATGCCCTGAGACACACGGTGCTATTTTCAAACAGTGCAAATGTTATTCAAACAGTGAAAGGGTTATTTTCAAATGCCCTCAGACACACGGTGCTGTCTGCACCAGCATTTGCACATCACCATGACGTGGGAAAAGCTGCCTGACAAGACTGTTGCCTGACATTTCCATAGGAAAGAGAGGTGCTGATGGGCCAAGGGGAGGGATTCTGGCACGTGCTGAGCTCCCAGCCAAAGAGCAGAAGCTACAGCTCCTTGGCCAGTTTTAATATAGAGCACTGACCTTGAAGGTTCAAGTCCTGCAAGTCACAGCAAAGCTGAAAATAATTAAGTGCATAAAAGCACAGAATGCTCTGGGTTAAAAAGCTCATCCAGTCCCACCCCCTGCCACGGGCTGGGACACCTTCCACCAGACCAGGTTGCTCCAAGTCCTGTCCAACCTGGCCTTGGACACTTCCAGGGAAGGGGCAGCCAGAGCTTCTCTGGGAATTCCATCTCAGCCCCTCACCACCCTCACAGCCTAGAATTCCTTCCCAATATCCCATCTAACCCTGCCCTCTGGCAGTTTGAAGCCATTCCCCCTTGTCCTCCTGCACTCCAGGCTCTCACAAATTCTCTCTCTCCATCTTCCTTCTGAGCTCCAGTGCTGGAAAAGGCCACAGCTCACTTTAATGGATTAAACTGAGGGAAGTGACCTAAAGCTCCTGAAAATACAACAGTGTATGATGTGACAAGGGCTAAAGCTCTGCTGTGGAACATCTCCCTTAGAAAGTTACTGGTCCTACTCTTCCTCTCTGTCCCTCAAACACCACCTGATTAAAAAGGACTCCCCATTCATACCTGTGCACCTGCTATTTGTGCCTGACACGCCCTCACTTATGCACACAGAGGGTGTAATGACCATCACTGACTGACACCACAGCACCAGAGGCACTAATGTATCACTCCCAGGACTCCCTGAGGCTGGAGAACACTGCCCTGCCTGTTTTACACAGGGAATTAAACCCCCAACCATCCAACCAACCTGTCCCTGGACTCTGGTTCTGTGTAAGCACAACTGTGGAATGTTATATTTAAGAGGCCTTTGTGCCTCCTGCACACCCCCACACACTCTCTGGGCACAAAGGAAATAAATGTGCTGACGTGCCCACCACGGAAATGAGGAAATCAAGTTTGTCATTCGAGAAAACCTTTGCCTGCCCATCTGAAGCCCTGCCAAAAATGCCAGGCTGTGTTTCAGTGCTGTCACACGGATGTTTGCACTTTTTGTTCAGGTGAAGAGGGGGAGAGGGGTGGCAGATCCCTCGGGTCACCCCGGGAGTCCCTTGGACATCCCAGCAGCACCATCTACTGACTCCACTCATAATTCCCACTCCCAAATTGCTTCCTGGGCTAAACCCGCCCACAAAAGGTGGTTTATTCCCTAACAAAGGATGCAAAAGGAACTCCCAGCTGCCTTGTTTCCCCTCTCCCTGCTGAGCCAATTAAACCCAGCTCAGTTTGCAGAGCACATCCCCAACAGCTCGCTGAGAGAGGTAACTCAGAGGTCACTGCTCTCACCTCACTCCTGCACCTCCATCACACCAGGAGCAGCCTCACCCACTCCCAGGGATTTGCCAACCACCAAAAAGAGCCTGAAATCCAGGATGAACTTCAGAACCCGCATCAGGGAGGGGAAAAAGTTAAGTTCTATTTGGGTTTAATCAATGATTAAGCAAAATATCAGTGCTGTTAGGAGGTGGTTACCACCTCACCTCCAACGAGGACCTCATTCCCTTGGATGTTCCTGCTGCATCTATTCCCTGGATTCTTGGTTGTCCAGCAACATTTCTGTACAATTCTGCACAATTATACAACAGCTGGTGCTTCTTTATTTATAAATAAGGCCTCAATCAACACTGAAGGAGGAAGGCAGGAGATTACACATCTCTGGCAGCTCGAATAGCATAAAAAAACCAACCTCAGGGATTTAGGTAAATCACACTTAGTGCAGAATCACCACAGCAAAATCCCAAGAAACATCATTTTCCAAAATTTCTGGAGGACAACAGTCACAGTTCAGGTTTTGGAAGCCAGGCTTTACAACTAAAGACTTGGAGCAGCTCAACTTAAGCTTATCCAAGAGAAACAAATCATTTCAAAACCCAGTGGATTCTTTACCGCTGGGAATCTTTAAACCTGGAGTGGGGTGTGTTTTAAAATTAAATTCTAACAGTGAAACAGAATTTGGGGCTTCATTGCAGAATAACTGAGTGAGATACCCTGCCCCGAGTTTTGGACATAAACTCAGGCCATTATTTCATAAAACACAACAGCAAAAACCACTGTAACATGTTAAGATGTTCAGTTGTGAGCAGAAGAACCTAAAAAGGCATTAAGGGAGAACAAGTTTGAGCCCAGAAGATCTCCCCACAAGCCAAATTCTCTAATGCAAGAGAGAAAAAGAAAGAAAAAAAGGGGTGGAGAGAGAGTGTCTGACTTACAGGGTGGTTATTTTTTTAAAATAAAGGTCGATCTTGCAGCTATTCCACGTAGGTTTAGGTCAGAAAGACAAAGAACTGGTTCTATTTTCTGGTCACATGCACTGGCACAGGCCTCTCCCAGGCAATTCATGAACACAGGAGGGCAGCACAGCCCTTGCAAGACACACTGTCAGGTATTTCCCAGGATTTCTTGTCCCCTCTGGAAGGCTTTTTATCTGTACAAGACTCACACACAACACTAAGGGTGTCGGTGATCCCAGAAATCAATGCCCACACCAGGCAAATCGAGGCCACGTTTCCTTCTCCAAACACAGGCTAAGATCTCAGCTAGAACCAGCTTTAAATCCTCCCTAAATTCCGAGGCCCTCCCTAAAAATGAAGGTATTTTCAGGATACCCATTGGCTCTGCACATGGAACAGGAAATAACGAGGCTCCCATGAAACCAGAGGACTCCCAGTCTGGCCACACACAGAGCTCTGGCAGCCTCTGGATGGACCATGGACGAGGCATTATTCCTTTATGGAAATTTTTCCTTCCTGATAGCAGCGTTCAGCTGGCTCTGCACACTCCATAATTACACACAACACCCTAATAAGTTGCCATCCATCCACCACAGAAAGCATTTTGGGCTCCCTCGCTGCTTAACTCTTCCACAATGGCTTCGAAAATGAGGTGTTTTGGATATTTATTTCATCCATTTCCCCTTTTAATTCCCCAATATGTTATTTTTATAACAACAACAACTGCGGCAGCAGGAGAAATAAATAGGCAGGAATTGCAATTTAATAAATAAATAAGATAATTTGCCCTTACTGGAAGGATGGAGGGCGGGAGTCTCCAATGCCTCCTGTTCTCTCGAGGGGTGGTGGAAGGTCTGTGTGGCTCTCAGTGCACTGGGAACCCGTGTCAGAGTGAGAACTTTCAGCCAGGACCAGCTGTCAAGAGAAAAAAAAAGAATTACCCACATTTGTAGCAGTTTCTCCACTCTGACATAGAGATTTTTCAGCCACTTTGCTAAAAAACCTGGAGGGAAGGAAGGACAGGGATTGCTGCCAAACTCCCACAAAATCAGGGTGCATTCCATCCCAACATGAAACCAGCAGCAGCCTGGGGTGTGCACAGAATTCCTGCAGGCCCCCCAAACTCTTCTCACCCCTGGAAAAGCAGCAGAGCAGGTGGGGAGGGCACTTTTGGGGGACTCACATTGCAGGGCTGTGCTCTCAGTCTGGCCCTGCCAGGCCAAAAGTAAAAAGGCAAGGCTGAAACTTGACAGTAGGACAGCCCAAACGTGGTACAACTTCTACAAAGAGCTTCAAACTCCCTGAAAATCCACAACCTGCTCTGGCCCAACCTCCAGATCTCTGTTAAGAGCCTGAATTAAAACCCAAATCCACCCAACCTCAACAGCCATACACTTTTAGAGGAGGACCAAGATTCCTGATGTTCATTCTACTCATCTCTTGTGTCCCTTAGGTCTCTCAGTGTTCCCTCAAGGCAGAGCTGCAGGTAGGAAAAGGCATTTTTCCAGCTGTGCCATAAAACCAGGATGTACAGTTAGCGCTCTTCTGTAATTCATGAGGACCTGAAAACTTGGACAAAATGTGGAGCTGTCACCTTCAAAACTCCTCTGATACTGGCATTTGCATTCCTGGAAGCTGGAGGGGCCTGGCAGCCTTTGAGCCAGGGTGGAAGGAAAGGCTGCAGAGCACCCAACACACACAGAACCCACGTGGAAATCGGGAATTAAAGACACGCCGCAACAATCCATCTTCTCATTCCGAACACCACATGTCTACACAGAGCCTGGTGTGTTTGGGAATTATTATATATTCCAGTCCTGTCACCAGGCTGGATGTAAATTCTGCCTGGAACAACTAATGCCATCAATACCCTCAATCATTAACAGGGATGCTCCTGGATAATGGATCACAGGCACGGTCGTGGCACACGAGGGGTTCACCACACTCAGTCTTGTTCCCAATAAATTCAGGGCATCCATCTCCACTCAGCACTCCCAGTATGACATCTTTAATCAGCAGATAAACAGACAAGAGAAAGAAGAGTGATTCTCTTCCTCTCCCCACCCTCCTGGTTTGTAGCTCATTTTAATAAATTGATTGACACAGGATCTTAGATTTGACTAAGGTCTGATTCCACCCACTTATCTACTGGCTAGTACCTACTTTTCTCTGTTTAACAAGGAAATAATAAGTATTTTTAAAAGGCAAGAGATGCTTTGTGTTCAAGAATCCTTTTGTACACCCAGGTGAAACTGGTTTTCCACATTATTTTTGGTTTTAAATCTCCCTTATGCTGCAAAGGAGCTCATGGCTGAAAGGAACACCCGGGAAGCAAAGAGAGCAGGTCCCTTCTCTGTCAATGGCTCAGTGAATATTTTATAATGAAATCAGTATTTTTGCCTGCTAGAAAGGCAGGATACCCCCAATTTTGCACAAGTGAGATGAAAGCAATCAACCTGCCTAAATGCACCCTAAAGCCCAGGGGAGAAGAACCATTCACGGGGTGAAGCAGCACTACAGAAAAACAAACATGCTCTGCTCCAAGACTCCCTTTTAATTTATCTCTGCAAACAGAACAGGACGATTTCCAATTAGCAGTCCCAGTTCTAATTCAGCTTTACCTGCCAGGTTAAGTGGTTATATTTTATTTAAAAGCCTAAAAGGGGAGGAAGAGATCCCAGTTCTCTGCTGTTCAAGCAGGAAGGCAGATGACCAACCTGAGAGGGTTTGTGCAAAATGAAAAGAGAATTCCGTGAACTGAAGGACCGAGTTCTCATTTTAAATGACTTTATAAAGAGTATTCTCCCATTAAACTGGGAGAATTTTGCATTTCCTATGCAAAAAGTGTGTTTCAACAGCCCACTGACCACTTTCTGGCCATTGATCCATAGAAATTAGACTTGAACTAGTGATCTGGAGGTGACCAGGGTTATATCCTGTCACCAATCCCCTGAGCCCCCAAATCATTTGGCCAAGTCTCCTTAAACAACACAATTATAAGGTTTTTAATTAAATAAATGCTCCATTAATGATATAAATTAATACCTTTCACTGAGAGGCAACAGGGTCTCAGCCTCCCTTTATTTTTAGCTGTGGAAGAACTGGGGTATAAAAGAGGTCCCAGCAATAACTGGTTAATTTATTGAGGACTAATTCCAATCTAATGATCAGATGGATGCTGGCTGTTAAAGAAAGGGATGGAGAAGGAGCAGGATAGGAAGGGACTGGCATTCCAGATGCAGGGCATTATTCCTGAGAGCATAAACCATAAATATGAGAAGGGAAACACACACAGGCTGTCAAAAAAGGAACTGCCTGGAGACAAAACAGTTCTCCAGCACCACATGGAGTCAGCTGCATTATTCAAACTCTTTATCACCAAAGCAAAGAGCAACAGAGGAAACACTGAAGGGAAAAAACAACACAAGCCTTTTCCTAATAACTTGATAATTAAGGCTTTCTTTCTTTCAGGTGGGGGAGTTAAAGGGAGATGTTTAGAAAGTACTGTTGGCATTCTGGAGATGCAAGGATGGCTCATCCCCTGAGGAATCTCTCCTCGCTGCCAAAATCAAACCAGGGGATAAAAAGAGGAAAAAAGAAAAGAGGGGAACAAAAAAAAAAAAAAAAAAAAGAGATGAAACCGGGTGTGTAAGTAAGATCTACACATCCCCTCACCCTCCATGCTCTGGATTGTAGCAAGCTCTGCAAACAAGCACTTGGCACAAGGTTTTTGGGAGCAGGGAAACATGTTCCTGCTTTGGGCCTTTTTGCTGATGGCAACACCTGACTCCAAGACAAATCCCTTCCATATGTCTGGGTATTTGCTCTTGAGCCTTTCCCTGCTCCTGGAGGAAGAAGCCTTGGCAATGCAGGACCCAGCAAACCCATTTGTGTAAAATGAAAAGAGAATTCCACGAACTGAAGGACAGAGTTCTCATTTTAAATGACTTTACAAAGGGTATTCTCCCATTAAACTGGGAGAATTTTGCATTTCCTGTGCAAAAAGTGTGTTTCAACAGCCCACTGACCACTTTCTGGCCACTGATCCACAGAAATCAGAATTGAGAAATTAGTTTGTGGAGGCAAACCCAGCTGCTGGAGGCTGTGGGTCACCCTGGGAGTGCTGCTGAGCAGGGGTAAAATCCACCCCAGCGAAGCAACTCCTCGGGAATATTTCCCCAGGTCTGTGATTTCCTCAAGGATGAGGCACTGGGTACCCACTTCTTGCTGACCTGCAGTGGGATTAGAGTCACAAACACCCTCAGACACTGCCATTACCATTACAAAGGGAAAAAGAGCTGCAAAAAAATTACCCACACTGCTCTTTCAGGAATTAAATCACCTTGAACTTGAATCAGTTCAGCACCAGACAGAGTGAACTCGAGATACATTTGAACTCAAAAAACCACACTGGCAACATCCCCTGTTTCTGAGTAGCTTGTTAATCCCAGATAAACATCTTTCACATTTCAAGCAGCAAATCACAAGCACAACAGCCACGATGATAACGTGGTGGCCAGTGCAGATATTCCCATGTTTACCTCCCCAAAATAAGATCCAAGTTGTGCTGGCTGTGCTGCTGGTCACAGGCACTGCCACACAAAGTACACTTTAATTCACAGACACATCCGTCAGGGTGAAATTTTGCCCCTGAGGAATAATAATAAAAAATAATAATAAATAGTAAATATAATAATAAGCAATAAATTAAGAATAATAAATAATAATAAATAACAATACTAAAATAAATAAAAATAAATAATAATAATAATAAATGAACCCAGGAGCATAACAGTTTAAATAAGTTGCCTTAAGGTGATCTTACTCTTATGATAAGCAGGACGTGGGAGCTCCTGCAAGAGGACCCAACTTCAGAGGTTTAGGCAATTAAGATATTGAAGCAATTAAGTTGTTAAAACAAGACACAGACTGTCCACATCTATGTCTGGCTACAAGTGGAGCACTTGCCCTTCAGCAAAGCTTTCCTTCTTGACTGACAGATCCCTGTGTTCAAGAGCACTGAATATAAATGGATGGCTGCAGACCAAATTAAAAAAAATAATAATAAAACCACTCCAAAAGAGCATCAGAACAACATTTGTTGGGCTAGAAAAGAAAATCTGCAGCAGAAGATGGCACGTGCAGCAAGATTATTCTGACTGCACTGCCTGGTTTATTCTTCCCATGCATCCAAGGGATCAGAAAGGTGGTGGAACACCTGACTTCATGGAATTCTGGGCTCAGCTGGTGCTTTGTGGTGGGCACAGCCCTGCCTCTCTCAAGGCAAATCTTCAATCTGGTGAGGGTTTATCAGCAGCTGAAGAAGCAGAAAAATTAAAAATTCTAGGGGCGGGGGGGGGGGGGGCACTTGAGAGAATTCAGAGGTCCTTGCCCTGGCAATTCCAACGTGGAATTGCTGCTCCCGCTTTGCTGGGCCACCTAAAGTTCCCTCATTTCTCCCACCAACAAGTGACAGGCTGTAAATCATTATTAAGATAAATTCTGTCCTTTCCTGAGGCGGGAACAAAGCCCTCCAATCTCCCACCCCTTTGAGTGGCAGAGGTAACTCACCCTTGGGCTGCCCCAACACAGACTGCCCAGTGTTTGCAGGAGAAAGGCAGTGCCACAGGCAGCTCCCTGGCCAGGAGCCAGCCCTGATAATTACATTTCACCCCTCAACCCCCCCCTCCCCCTGCAGTTTTGAGTGGCAGGAGCATTTTAATGGGTTTCTCTCTCCTGTGCTGCTCAGGATCGTGCCTGTGGGCTGGGAAACAGCTGTTGGGTTCCACCCAAAGGACTGCATTTCCATGTGAAACGGGGGATGTCTCCCGTGTGGGGCACATGGAGGAAGTTAATAAAGAAGCGTGGAACTAATTGCAACTGTTGATTCAGCTCATTCCATCCTACTGAACGCT